TGTATGTACTGTTTGAGACAATTATGGCGGAAAAGAACGGCGGAAAGCGTACAAGGCGCTAAAGAAACAAAGGTACAAAAAGCAATTACGCAGGACAATATAATTCCTGCCCCAAAAACATCATTCAAATAAACTTTCTCGCTACACTAAAACAAATCAGCATTGAGAGAAAGGCAAAATCAAATTATCACATAATCTATACGTCTCACTGGTCGAGTATTCACACTTTCAATTCTCAAAGCTTGTCTGAAAAAGAAAACAAACAACCAAAAAAAAAAAAGAACTTTGCCATGACGGAGATATTGGTTGCTTTTTTTATTTTATTTATTAACGCAGTAATCTAAATTTCCACCTTTTACTTAATTCATAATTGCAGAGATCACGTGCACACTGTCTTAGTAGCCACCAAAACAACCGACTTTTCCTTGATGTTGTAAATCTCTTTAATTTTCCTTGTAAAATATATTTAAGTATGTAGGGTACCCACACTGCCTACCTCGAATAGCTTTAGCTAAATGCAGGCAGTGTGTATGTTTAATGTATTTCTTTGCTTTTTAATAAAATTGTTGTTGTGGTTGGTTTCCCCGCGAGATGACGTCTGAGGAACAAACTTAGAAATTCCATATTGATGACTCGTCACTACCCAGATCTTGGTAGTGGTGGCGTTGCGAAACGTCGGCCGTTTTCTCAGGCTATTGCCTAGGTGACAGTTCGTATTCCAACAAAACATTCATAATGACGCGTAAGTTGTTGTTATCTTAAAAAAGGAAAAGAGACTTTTCCTCCGTCTAGTTACAGCTTTTCTAGCTTAAGACTAAGACATTTAATATTGAAAAGGGATTATTTGTGCAGTGGGCTAGTCATCTGGCTGGTCTCGTCTGTCACGTTAGACTCGATTACCAACCACTGTTCGGACAATGAGCCCGTGTTCCTCCCCGAAAACACGGTTGGAGGCGTGGGTTTGCTATTGTCGATTTCCACCAATCAGATCGGTGCCTGCTTAAATGGAGCAGGAAGCATGGATTAATTTTCCTTGAGCAGATTTTAAATAGTCTCCCACGCAGGCGTTTTTAGGGGAGCTCCTCTAAAAACGCCTGCGTGGGAGGCTAGATTTTAAACGGCAGACGCAAAGTTGTTGTTTGATATGGCGGGGAGAAACGTGACCAGACCCGAGAGAGCGGCGGAAATCGAGCCTTTTGCCAGGTCCAGATAATTTGGTCCCAGTGAGGTCGCAGTATCGTCACTCAACACTCCTCCCCAGGAGCGTTGCGTGAGGAAACAAGGAAGATAGACTACAGTGACCTCCAGATGTTCGAGAGGTCATAGGTTCAAATCCTGCTGGGAACTCAAGATCTTTTACGTCGCATGCACGTTACACGCTGATTATCACATCTTTCACATTCACTTACCGAGCTTAAAATTTCCTCTTAAAATTAAATAGCACCGAGTGTTCATGGCACAATGGCAAAAACGCAGTACTTATCACTCTCGCCTTTTTCTTCACAGTTATGAACAACAAGGGATCAGAAACTTTGTTCCAGGCCAGCGCCACATGCAAACTTCGCCTGGTGCGCATGCTTGTGGAGGGAGGCACATCTGTGAATGTACGAAACGAACGCCTCGAAACACCGCTAATGTTGTGTTGCCAGTCTGAAACAGATCCGGACGAGAAACGACGAGTTGTGGCGTATTTGCTGAGCAAAAAGGCTATGGTAAATTTACAAGATATTGACGGACGTACGGCTCTCATTCATGCATGTCTCTCAAATTCTGGCAAAGAAGTTATCCAAGCGTTGCTAGATGCTAAGAGTAATCCATGGGTACAGGATTTAAGCAAAAATACAGTATTCGATTACGTCATAAACGCAGCAGATTTGGAAACAACGAGACTACTGATAAACGCTTGCCGTGAGAATATGCTGACAGGAGAACGCGATGAGGCGCAGATGGTACAGTTGGAAGAGTGTCTGGTTAATATGCAGGACATCCGCAAATTTTCTTGGCCTTTGATGGGTCATACGCTCCGCAAGAATCATACAATATTATACGCAGCTGAAAAAGAAGAGCCCTCTTTCCCTTGCAATAATCTACTAGGCTCCGATTTGGGGAACGAAATCCACAGCAGTTCGCCACAAATTGAACGGAGAAGGAAGCGCTCGGTATGCCACTTTGATCCTCTCGACATAGAAGAGATATTAAACTGCGACGAAGATGCTAAAGAGAAAATGGAAAAAAGAGAGAGCAAAGACGGGAAACAAAGCGAGTCAAGAAAAACGTCGGTACGCTCACTGTCTGAGGAAGAAAAATTTAGTTTTCAGATTTCCGACGGAGAGAATACACCACGTGATCCGTCACCTGGGTTGGAGAAGCTTCTCAGGATACAAGATTCATTTTGCTCTTCACTCGACTCTAACGAGTTTCCGTGCACCACAAATGATTTAAAGGAACACCTTACTCGCACCAATTCTGTTGATGAACAAGTTACTAACTTACTTCAAGAAAATAAAGGTGCTAAAATTTCGTCCCAGATGGATAACAATAAAACTAAAGGTGAAACTGTCAGTTTAGGGTCGAGTGACGAAAGACAAAGTTTTAACAATGACTCTAAAACAGAAGAAACAAATAATGAATATCAACACTTATTTACGAGACGAACATCTCCTCATAAAGACGAAAGTTCCGCTTCGGACGGCGAAGAGAAAATGAAAAATCAACGCCAGGTGATGAATAACTCTCCACTACATAACAGCAAAGAGGTTATGGAAAACATGATGGAGACCCATTCAAATCCATACACATCTCTTGTGAAAAGTCGGCAGTCATCACCTACTATAAGTCCATTATCGTCTCCTCGGTTGTTTCGTCGTGAAACGCAAACTTCAGTAACAGTAAAGCAAACTATAACCCATCGGGCCTCGCCAGTGACTCATCCCGCCGATCAAAATCGAAGGCAGGTGTCGATAGTCCGGAGATATACCCTGTCCGCAATGGATACGAAAAAGCTTCATAGCTCAGGTGTTGGCGCCAAGACTCTGTTAGCGCCCCCGCTACAACCTGCACCGTTAGAACCTAATAAGAGAACAGGGTCAGCGGTGTTTGAATCCACGACCAGAGAGGATGTTGGGAAGTCCACCCCTCCAGGATTGCGGAAGAGCAAGAGTGATATGTCAGACTGGAAATCCATGTCACGCGATCTTCAAGGAACAGATTTTCTAGAATTTGCACCACCGCAGCATGTAACAAGCAATCAAAGTGCAAAGCCATCCAGTGATAATAAGTTGGAAGGAAGTGAAAATACGCAGTTTCAATTACCTAGTATATCTTCTGTCAAAAAAGGAAGGCACTCGCCCAAAGAACTCGCCAATCAAATGGCAATTGTTACTTCTGCTTCGGACAATAAACAGTCCAACTTTGAAACCAAGGTGGAATTAGCTCCCCTTCATTTAAAAAACAACGCCGATAGACAGCGACTTTCTCTCCAAGCAGGTCAAGAATTTCCCTTTGCAGACGACTTTCAAAGGCGTTCACCGATATCATGTCGGTCTTCCCTTTCATCATCACCAAGCAACTCCTTTGATAAGAGCGATATCGTTGCCATGGCGACATTGACAGATCTTTCTTCGAAGAGTTTGGACAAGGTAACCGGAGATGTCCTTCCTGATCTTCTTTTGAACTGTCCTTATGAAGGGGATTGTTCAAAGAAAGGCAGTGTGACGACCCAGACTTCCACAACATTTAAAGACACTACGTCACGTTCAAATTCGTCTGAGGAACGCAGTGTCGCGGGCTCATCTCACGGTCAGCAGCGAACTAGCCCCAGGCTTCGCCCAGGGACACTATTGCCACCGTTACTCATTTCAAACAGGCGATCGCCAACACATGAAATAGAGGATGGATATTTCTCCTGTTCACCTTCTCCCGCGGACGTGGAAAGCCCGAGACGAAAGTGCAGCAACGAACAACTACGTTACTCATTTAAACCGATATCTCCTCGTTCACCCGTTTCCTCTTCAAAGTGTTTTTATTCGCAGTGGGGGAAGCAGCCTACATCTCGTTAGAGACGTCTTATATAGTAAACTACCGCTTATAAGCTCTCCCACTTGTAAGCCCCTGTTCCGTCCAGTTATGGGCCCATCTCTTTGTAAATAAAAAAGTACACCCAATTGTAAGCCTTTCCGGACATACCCCTCCCCCTCCCCACCCCCCGAACCTCCGCTTCTATTCAAATGAATTCGATTTATTATGACGTTTTGAGGGTTTCGAAGCGGTTTTTCGTTTCCGGTTGTATGCCCTCCTAAAGCCCCTTACGCAGATTTATAAGCCTTCGGCCGATAAGCGGTAGTTTGCGGTATTCACATTAATAAAATAAACCGAAAAAAATTGTGCGAAAGCAGAGTTTGATTATTAAAGTTATCCGAATGAAACGTTTGGTAAGTTCATATTAGTTATATATCATATAATACTAAACAAACAGAACTACAAAACCCCGCAACGACGTTGCAGACTTTCTTGAAGAGAGCTCCTTGAACAGTTACAACAACAATGTCAAGAACCCAATCAGCCAACCAAAAGTTAAATATGCCACCGAACGAAAACGCAGATCGCTTTTCCCCACGTTTACAATTGTTTTTTGAAAAAGTGAGACGAGTTTGTCCGGGCGTCAAGCGTTGGTGAGACAAAACAAGGGTGGCGATTTTCAAGTTAAAATATCGACCTTTCTACTTTCTTAAACTGAAACAAAATCGTTGATACATGAAAGGCTGAAACGTCACATTAGATCGAGACCTTTAAAGATGAAAATGAAGTTTTGAACCGATAAAAATTGCTTGAAACTATTCGAGTTTAACATAGACTCACACAAAAGAATTTCATTTTCAGGAGATAGTAAAAGTGCCTTGCCTCGCAAAGCATAATGGGAAGAACGCAAAACACGTTCCCGGATGCTATAATACTTCTCAAGACGCAATTGAAGCTTTCGACCGCTTCACACCGTCTTAAGCCTGCGGGCAAGCTCTCCCGGGGGTACGGGGTTGGCGGAGGAAAGACGGGAAGGCCACGTGACTGCAAGCTTCGCCCCGCCCCCAGAGCGGGAATCTTTCAAGAAAAATTAAGGAGGTCATCCGTATCAGACGCCAGAGGACAACACTCAACACAAACGGTGATTAAGAACTACCTATGTTTTATTGTCACTTGTAATCACGTGACTAAACACACATTATAACTCACGTGACAATACTTAAGACAATATTTCCGAGTGAATACTGTTTGCGAAAAAAATATTTATGCAAAGAAAGGGGATACTTTGTTTTTAAATGGAACTTAGCTTATTTGAAATCACGTTTGCAACAAAGAACTGGAACTGACAGAACGCTTTCATCGCACAAAAAATTGTTGCCAGTAAGAAGTTCGTCCAAAATAGTTTGCAAGAGGTGTATGGAGCTCAGTAGTCTCATGGTAAAACTAAGTTTAAAATTGTTATTTCTGTCTCTTGAAATTGTCATTTATCGTACGCCTACGTTTTCTTTGCCTCGTATTCAACACTGTTTTTCATAAACACAAAATTTATACTGTACTTGATTTTCTTCGAAGACGCCTTGGGGCACTTCAGAAGGGTTGCTAAAACAGAAATACACACATAAGTGAAAACGAACGCTGTTTATCTTTTTAACAAAAGTTTAAAGCCTTCGAGTCTTCGAAACGAATTTTTCTGAACAACAATAAATTGTCTACGAAACGGCACAGATGCCACAGGAAAAAGGGACAACGGGACACAATTCGTGATAGCATGGACGGAAGCAGAAAAATTTGCGATTATTCAAATGCAATAAACAGAAAGCATTTAATTGGGTAAAAACTGACAAAACAAGTCTTCCGTTGTTGACCTTACTTTCTTTCATATCTCGTCACAGTAAACCGCATTGTTTGATCGAAAGAAAACGGTTAAATGAATTCCCGCCCTCTAAAAAATGGAGGGAGGTGGTGGGCGAGATCTCGGTCAACCACTGTGCTAATCTATGACACCAACAGTACAAATACCTTATCAGTTTGTAAACATTTTCATCAAACATGGGAAAGAATGCATCTGCTTCAAATTCTTGATTAATACGAGTTAAATATATTCGGTGACAGAAGGGTGATTCGATTGCTTCCTGAAGAATAAAAAACAATGCAATTTGATACAAATAACCTTTTGTAAAATATACCGGCACCCCACTGTGTACAGAACTATAGTTTGGATCAGGTACGAAGCATGCGTATATAATCTGAAAGAGGCTGAAACTTTAAAGGGCGCTTGATTTTTTTTCTGCGTATCTCGATGAGCATTCGGAAGTCAGCCAAGCGTGTTATTGCTCGCGTGCTGAACAAGAATGCTGTATCATGACAGACTAGAAACAATAGACAACTCCCAAAGCACAAACTCAGCCAAAACGCTAAAAATCTTCAATGTTTACCCAAGTTTGGGCTTATAGAAGATAATGTCACAGTTTTTCAATGACCATGAAATTCAGAATCCGGGTAGTTAGTTAATCAATTGTGGCCCTGAAAAAATTTGAAGGAAAAAGAAAACTTTAAGAAAATGCTTTTTTCGTGAGAAGGACTTTTAAACGCTGACAAATGTCAACAAATAGCTAAAACTATAATTTCTATATGTTTGCTTTGCTCGAAATCGCGCGCATTTACAAGGACCTAAAGCTTTTTGCTGACTTGCAAGGACCCATCTGTTATAACGATCCCCAAAATAAAGGGATAAGTCTCATAGTTTATTAGATATAATCGTGTAAAGTTTGCTTATCATTTTCGCATAAATTATGACCTAAATTGGGAAACCGCTGAATTTCTTGAATTGGGTCTTTGCGATTTTGGTGAAACTCTGTTCAGCGCAAGGCACTAATGCGCACTATGTGTAGCCGAGAGATTTTCACGAAAAAATGCCGGAAACAGCAGATTTTCGACTCAGACCTCAAAGGGGCGTGGCATTATAACCACGTGACATTTACTCCGATCGCCAAACATTTTACGCTATATTGTAGATTGATCTATATGTTATCCATTCTATGTGTTAGACTTACGATAAAAGTAAAGGTGGGGATACCAGAGAGCTTCAAAGTAGGATGGTACCCCCCCAAAAAAACTGGGTCGAGTCACCTTAATTCATACAAAAAGTTAAAAAACACCATTTTCAAGTGGAAAACCAAGAAATAATTTATCGTTTGGAATTGTCTGCATCAGGTATGATACAGAATTGCTTTTCTTTTTTCGATGGTAGTTCTTGTTTAACGTTCAAACTATTAACTGCATGCAGTACTCTGAACCGTTTGTAATTCCATAATCAAACTCGGTCGCAAACACGCAATGAAATAAATACAGACACGGAACACTTAGTTCAAAAACACAACGATTTCCTTTAATTGTAGAGAAGCTATTTGGTCCTTAACGAAGAAAAAAGCAAACAAGGAAACAAGAAAGAAAAGCTAACCGAATCATTACACTTGATGGTGAAAATAGCTAGAAGGTCGAATTACAACATTGGTCTCAGAAACTTCGCATAAACAAAATCACTGCCGAAACCGCAAAGCGGCTCTAAATGAAAAATCTACCGACTCTCCCCAATGATTCTTCATTCGCAGTTCAGTGCAATTCGAAGACGAGGGCAATTTTGCTGTTTACGATAAAGATTATCGCAATGTTTGAACTCCACGAAAGCATCCCAGGGATGTGATCCGCTGAATATCAAACGACAATCCCGCTAAAATTTCTCATAACTATGCATAATTATGCGAATGTTTAGACAATTAACCAATCAAAATCACTACCCGGTTTTCGGGTAGTAGTGACGTCACTGGACGGCATTAACGGCCGGTCGATTCAGAAGTTGCTGAGAGGAGAAAACGACTCGAAGTAATCGGATGAAATTCAGGCTAGGAGCGACGGGTTAACCTTCATTTGTGGTAACGAACCGAACGTAGTTTTGAAGAAGTCTGTTTAGGTAATACTTTGGTGGCAAATGCAGTGCCAGGAAACACCAAAACGCAATGTTCAAGTTTACTGTTTTTCATCAACAGTTACAGTGATTTGCCGAAAAATTATCTTCGAGGCCAAATAAGGAAATTTTCGGGACAATCTCCAAGCTGTGCCACTGTCTTTTAATTCACGAAAAAAGGCAAAGATGGCATCTTTCTTTTTGTAAAACAAAGAATCTTTTCCCACTTTCGAGTGTCGAGAGGGCCAATTTGGAGAAAACCTGTTAGATTTTAATTTAAGCGCAATCTCCACAAAGAGAGGGCTTGCACACTTAATAAAGAAACAGGCAAAAGGAAACTCTGCTCGCAAGGTGCGGATGCCATTGACCAATAAAGTATAAGACACAGTAGGTCATAAATAGGTTGGATATGATCGTCCGGGTAGATGTAGTCCTGAATAGGACTGCTGTTGACATTTTCTTACATATTTTCCACAACCTGTGCGGTAGGCATCTTCAGACTCAAAATGAGTTGTATCATATCGGTTGATGGTATTTAAAGCTGTTTATTGACCTGATTGGTGAATTAAGTCGCGATATTATTGGTAGTCGCTCAGTTAAGCCGTATGTTATTGGCTATGAAGACTCTCAATACAAGTAGCCGTGCACTTCGATTCGTCTTTTGTCATAGTAATACTGTCGTTATTGTTAGTCGTAATAAAGTGGGTTGTCCAGTCATTCTACCATTGTCGGTTTTGCTTCAGCTTGTCAATAGGACGTTTGTAACGTTTGTAAGCCCCGTTTGTCGTAAGTTAGTGAGCCAGCTTTTTGAAATGAGTGGTTGCTAGTGGTTTGTAAGATGCAAATGTACATACATCGAGTGTCAATCGATGCGAAGGTTTGTCTGCAAATAGCTACCCTTCAGAACGAACGAATGCAAACGGGCAGCAAGCGAGGAGCGGGAGACGCGCGCAAAGGGGGAAGGCGCAGAAAAGTAAGTTATTTTTTCCGCGCCTTCCCCTGTCGCGTGTGTCTCACGCTCCACGCCTGCTTCTTGCTTTGTTCTCCCGAAAAACGCGGGCGCCTGTTTTGAAGGCTAATAAATAGCTCAATTATAAACAATCCCTAAACGCAGTGGTACAGTGTATATCGAATCACACGAACATGCAGTACAACTGTTTACCTTATACACATCAGTTCCACCAAGAACAAGTATTTTTTCTACCGTGCTTGTGAAAGGAGGCGCAGACAGCATCTGAACTGCCGACAAAACACTGTCACAAACATAATGAGCACCAGATGGAGGACTCCTGACAAACAAGGACAGAAAATAATGAGATGATGTGCAAGTTAAGAGCATGATCAGAAGTATAACTTTACCTTGTAAATTTGGATTAAAAATTCATCATTAACAATGGGATAAAAAATTAATTTCGCACTAAGGCACAACGTATACTATCAGTAAATTAGTCCAATCTATAATTTTTTGAAAGTCTAAAAAATATAATACGGACCGAGATTTCTGACTGTTATTAAGTTATCAGTTACTGAATAGCTACATGCACTACCGTTGGTGATTAAATTAACTTTTTCCTTCATCAAAATAGCGTTAATTACTGGTGATAATTCAGGGCTGTCACTAAGATTTCAAGTAGCTGAGTAAACACAACAACTAGGTTGAGAATCAAACAACTAGAGATTTCTTTTGGTTCTTCTTTGTTGTATTTCCCTCTAAAAGTAGCCAGGGTCACGTTCCTTGTACCTTAGGGAGATTCTGGTCCTTATTGAGAGCCCTGATAAATGAATGTATGAACAAATAGAGTAAGTGATAGAGTGGATAACAGTTTACTTACTTTAACGACTTACTGATGACAATGTTTAGTCTGCCAGTGAGGGGTTGGTTAGAAGCTCCAAGAGATTCCCATGTTTTTCTCCCTAACAATACAGCATTCCATTTGTCTAGGAAAAACAACCAAAAAGCTATCACGAAAATTGCGCACTGCAGACCCAAACCTAGATGGTGTATATTTGTTTTTTACATTACCTCTGGGTAATACCATACTTAAAGGTTAAATCAACATACAAATGTCAGGAAAATAAAGATAGTGATATATATATTCTACCCTAGGCATTGTTATTCATGACATGATAATAATTGGAGAATATAGCTTTATACCTTGGGCCAGGAGAAAGTAGCAATGGGCAGGATCTACAACCCCCACTTAATTGTTAGTGGGATGGCAGATCACTAGACTTTTACTTTCACAGCCATAGAAAGAGCTGAGTGCTCAAAGGGAGCATGTGTAACCTTTTTTATAGTCTTATTCACATAACCTTCAGTGTATCAATCATTACTAATGCAAATCGTGTTTTCACATTTGTTACGTTGTTACTTCACAGATACAAAACCAGTGTGCGACAAACGGAGACTGCAGACTTGCAGACTGGCAGGTAAATGAGGTAAACATTGTTGTGAAATGCTCTAACAGATTCCCTATCCCTAAACTAGACTTTTAGAAGACTTAAAGTTTAGGGATAGGGAATCTGTTAAAGCATTTCAAAACAATATCCACCTCGTTTACCTGCCAGTCTGTAAGTCTCCAGTCTGCATTTGTCGCACACCGATACAAAACTCACTGACAACTCCTCTAGTTATTATACATTGATTCCATACACAAATCTCTAACTTCTTTCTCTATAAACAAACCACATACTATCCTTTCCAAAAACCCCCAAAAGCAAAACCCTGTACAGGCATTGTTGGTACAGTGGAACCCTGTTAATACAAACCACCGTTGGGTTATAAAAGCCTGGTCATAATAACAAGGTGGCAGCATTAACGGGTTCTTCAAAATAATAAAATGATTCTGTGATTTTTACCTTTGGGTCAAAAGAATATGGTCTTAATAATGAGGTGGTCATATAAACGGGGTGGTCATAAGGCGCGGTTCCACAGACTGCCATTTACATGCATCACTACAAGCAAACCACCTCAGGCAGTGTAGTGGTGCCACCATTACAATTAATATTATACTGTAACTACCAAAACAAAATATTTACAACAGTTAAAACAACAGAACTAGGCCATGCAGGCACACCCCACAGGCATAAAGCAACACAAATTCACACAAGCTCATGGCATAATATATGTGAAAATTATTGACACAAAAAAATCACCACAATGGCAAGCTGCACAGGTACAACAATTCAAATTCACCAACACATTCAAGCCTCAAGGCATTTTTAATACAAATTCACTAAACAAAAAAAGAACACCTAATGCAACAAACCTAACCTTAACCCTGACGCAATAATCGTATTGTAGGTTTGTTCGATTCCAACTAGTTTGTTCTTAAAAAAAAAATTAAGCACACCTTTATCTTTAACTTCAGTAGTTATCTTCTCTAGAAACCTCAAATCAGTTCTGCATTAAAAAAAAAGAGATGAAGAAAAGAAATGATGATGATGATGATGATAATCTAATAATAATTTAAAACTGGCTTCAACTACAATGTGTCAAACAATCACACCTCATCAATAAGAACACTGAGGGGCAGAGCTAAGTCAACTAAAAAAAGGGGAGGTTTCAGGAGTGGCATAGCTGCTCCCATGAGTGCTGGGGCATGCTCCCCTGAGAAAAATGTTAAGATATTTGCCTCCAAGATGCCATTTCCTGCATTTTGAGATCACAGTCAATGGAAAAACTGCACCCAAAATTATTGCAGGCTCATGATGGTTGGAAGCCAAAAGGGAAAAAGACAAAGTGGCTGAGAAACCACAGGAAAATGGCAAAGAAGCATGCTAAAAAGACTGGCTATACAAAGAAATGGAAGAGTTTCAAAAACCAGGATGCCCGGAAAATGGGAGGCCGGAAATATTGGCCAAAACCAAAAAAGGGAGGCGGGTTGGAATCTACGGTAAGTGTCCACATTACAGACGTTTCTGTGTTAAAGAGGTAACACCAAATTTATGTGCTGCCTTGTCCCCCCCTTCAAGCTTTTCATGTGACTTAGTTAGTTAGTTGGTTAGTTTGGTTGAGCGCCAGCTTACACAACATAGATTCTCCTTCACCAGTCAATTTGGTCTAGCATTACCATTCTGAGTTCTCCAACAGTATGTATATGCTCTTAGGTCTTCCCAACTTAGTTTGTCCGTGTTGTGGCTGCCACAACACAAGCTTCAATGCCTCCTCCTTTTTGTGTCTTTTAGAACGCAATGCCCAGCTACCCTCATTCTCCTTTCCCTAATCTTGCCAGAAACTTTTGGGAGGTGATCATACAGATCTTCATTAATTTGTAATGTGGTCCGTCCAAGAAATGTTCAGTGCTGTGTGGAGCATTCTAGTATAGGCACGATCAATTTGCTTTCCTGTGACTTAACCTTCATATAAACACACCTCTAGTGACAAACCTAACAGTAATGAAAGCTAATCATTATAACCAAATCAGTACAGTCAGCAGTATTGTCAGTTATAAACCCTAACCACAATCAAAATCGGGAATCAAACTTGGCCTGGCTGAATGAGGAGAGGGGGGGAGGGGGGTGGGGGTGGTTGTGCATGGGCAAAACCAGCTGTTTCCAAGACTTTTGTTCCTCAGAGACTTTGATGAACATCTGTAATAGAGGGAAGTCTGTATTATAGAGGAAAGGACTGTACAAAATTTAGCATCTCTGGTAATATGCCCTTTCAAACGTGGGATTGTGATGTTTTAGGGTGCAAAAAACCTTGCGAAAAATCAGTTATTTCTAGAGCGTGGTCTAGCCGTATAAACGTGAACCTCAAACAGCAAACCTGACGGCAAGGCACAAGTAAAATCAAGTGACTTCTCCACGTTCGCGGTTTGCGGAAACTACCGAAATACCTCTATCTTAAGGTCTCTAATGTGTGTAAGGGTACTCGATAAAAAAAGGACGTTTGTTTATCGTAAGGTGGGATTTTGCGGAAATCGGTTGAAAAAAAAAATTACAAACTTGAATGCTTACTTAAGAATTTTGAGCGTACGCACGGTGATAAGTAAAGAAATGTGGCAGATAAAATCAACACTCTGATAAGTCAAATTTAGGTGTACCTCAGAGGGGGCCAAGGTAAGCTGCCCTTGTTTCCAATTCCGCGATTTGTACTCATAGCAGCAACACAACTGACCCAGCGAAGATTCTTGCTAGTCATTCTTTCATCCATCAGATATCAAATAAATGGTAAGTGTGTTAATCGCACCACACGTTGTCTCGTAAAATGAGTGGAAACTATAGTACTAGCCGCAGTCATCGTGTCATCCCGCATCGTCCGCCATTTTGAATACAGCTACATTTAAATCATAGGTACAGGAACAGGGGGGGGTGATGAACTCGTCAATCGCTCCTATAGGGATCGCGCGGCGGATGATCTTGGCCATCGTGACGTCACGAGAAGTTTATCCCGGGAACTTTGAATGGATTCAGCGAACGAAATTGTTTCGTGGTTTCAAAAGGTAAAAGTCGAGACGTTGCGATGAAACGACCGAAGGTATGTGTTTATCTATTAATGCTATACAGTAAAATTGTAATATATTCTAGGAAAGAGCACTTCCATCGTAAAAAATCAAGAACTTCCCGAGATCGACCAGATGGTACAACTCATACCGGCGCGTCTTTAGAGACGCATAACTAAAGAGCCCAGCAGAATTTAGTCTCGAGAAAAACAAATGACGTTAATATGGTATGGGTCTCTCAATTAGTGATAGAAGTGAGTCATCTAATAAGTTAGCAAAAATGATCAGTGGGATAAAAGCCGCAAACCTCAGGGATGTTTACAAAAATTGCGAAAGTGGCGTGGACAGGTCACGAAACATAGCGTCGTGATGTTAATACTACACTATCAAATTGTGTAAACAATTCATTAAAACTAAACAAATGTAAGAAGCAAGTGTTTTTTTTTTATAGAATATGGGCTATAATCTTCAAGGGTTTTGAAAGGATTTCCTGTTTGAGTCAAACGTATCAAAATGTTAATAAAGCGTATTGAATCAAATCGTCGGGCGATAACCAAGGATATTATTATAGCTTATTGTATTGCAACTTTTCACTATAAATTACGATCATTTTGTCGAAACATTCATTGCTCATGATGGAGATAAGTTCACATTGCCTTTCTCTTTGCTTCTTCGCCCCACAAACAAAGGAAAACATGGTTTTTATCCTGTACATAGTCAAACAGAATCTATCACAGGGGTAAAGTGCCGTGAGCTAAACTTTTTGATCAACATCAACATTTTTAGGGCTTTATGCAGAGAGTCCAGGAGGAGAATCCGCAGAAAGGATGGGTATGTAGCTTTGCCTTAATCTCTTTACAGAGTTAATAGAAAAAAAAACTAGAAAAAGCCAAGAAAACGGACACTGGTAAGCGTTTCAATGGTGTAATGTTGAAAATGTGTTTCCTCGGGCGTCCGCATATTAAAAATGAGGTGGGGGGAAAAAACTTCTAAGGATATAAAAAATCGCAGGATTTTCATGCGATGAATATCATCATCCTTCTCACACTTTTACAATATAAAAAGAGACTTCTTTAAAGATACATTTTTTTCGGTTTTCCTTTTTGTGTAGTTCAATAAAGACACCAAAGTTCAAGAATGACAATATAGTTCAATAACTACACGAGTTCAGAAAATGACACAAGTATCAATGTATGTTTATTAGGTAATGTCAAGGCAGGGGATCTACTGGGAGTGGGAGTGCAGGGGCATCAGTTCAATTTTCAATCATTGATGCTTTTTAACTTACTTGGACTCCATGCTATTGTCAGTTACATCAAGTGACACTGTCCAGTTCCAACAATCTTCGGGGCCTGCTTGTACAGTTTTATCACCCAGCTGATGTAGCTTTGTGGTAATTTCTCAGTAGGCGAAACTTAGTTAAGACCCAATCGTTTCATGACTATAGGTGGTCCATTATAATAGCTCTAAAGCCCCTCTTTAAAATTTGCTGTTGTACTGCCTTTCCCTAATATATTTCACATAGCCTTGCCGTTTAGCTATTGGTTTAAGATTAGAAATCAGTCTTTGGATTATCCTGATAGGTTGCTTGAAGTTACAAAAATTTATAATTCAAGGGAGACATATTTTTTTACCATTGCTTGGGGGGGGGGGGGCTTGGGGGCTTGGTGTTTGTGGTTTAACTCACCTATATTAATGTGAAGTTTAGGGAGTAGGTGAGGAAAACCATTATAACATCTGATTTAAGAGATGCTTAACAAATAATTAGGGATTTTAAGTGATAATATTGCCTTTATTTATTTTGTTTTGACCTTTGTATATATAAATAATCTCTTTTTATCTGACTGATTTTATAATTAGGTGCTTCCTTAGTTGGGAATACTCTGTAGATGATGAGAAAAAAACAAGCAGTGTGTGATGGAGGAGGTGCTGCTTACTGGATGTCTGTAAAGATCTAGTATAATAGATTCCACGAAGAGAGTCGTGCGGTGTGGGAAGTGGAGGACGTTAGATGGAGTGGATTCCATGGAGCAAGAAGAGACCATACAGGATACAAGAAATTAGAAGAACCAGTTTCCTTTTATTTTTTATATACTGAACAAATGTGTTTTCTTTCTTGCATAACAAGTCTGACTTAGACTTGTTTTCATTTAAAAACTTTGCACATTGACTTTGATTAAAAGAAACGGATTGTTATCAATAAAATTTTCTTACACTGGTGTTTTTCTTTTACTTCTTCTTTAATTTTTGGTCTCTTCTAGAATTTGGTTAGCCAAGCAGTCTAGCTGCCCTGCCATTCGTTGCAGTTGGGCAGCTACCCGCTTCGCCTCTATTACTGTGTTTTTAATTTCTTTTGCTTTTTGTTTTAACCTTTCTTCTTTTCTTTTCAACTCTTTCTCTTCTCTTTCAATTTCCTTTCTCCTCAGCTCAATCTCAGTGGCTGCCAGTCAGCTCCTTACTTCCATTTCGTCTTCCAGGGATAGCTGTAAAAATGAGTAACCCACCTATAATAATCTGTCTATTATTGTTAACTTATCTTACCCCATCTCTACGATAATAAAATATGGTGAGCTCATCCTTTAAAACAAAAAGCATCCTATCTCAACAAACTGTTGAAAGCCTTGTTTTATCAGGTATGGGGAGGGGAGGTGAGGTAGGGTAAATGCAAATAAAAATAGCCATAGGGGAATGGGGCAGGTTTCGGAGAAAAGGCCTGTTTCCATACGTGTTGACGTCATTATGGTACCATTCGGCTGAGCCCTATGTGCCTTTTGTTATTTAAGATGCCTTTTGCTTTCCCAGAAAACCATGAGATTGGGAGTCTTGCCCTATCAGCACTTGGCTGGTGTCACCAGGGGACTTCTGTAAATTATGTAAATGAGTTACATTACTTTCTCATTTCATTTTTGTTTGTATAAAGCTTGTTTCACTCATTTGATATCTTAAAATTTGAGGTACAATCTAGGTTTAATTAATTGCTCCACACAAATAAAGATATTAATGCAAATGTATATCATCATATCTCTGGAAGTATTCCAAATGTTTCCGCCTTTCATTTGAATGGTAATTAGCTCCCCATACAGACCTGCCAACCCCTAATAAGGAAAATCTGTAGACTCATGAAAAAAAATTGGGAGATTCTACAAAAAGTAGTGAGATTCTATTTTTTCCCGATCAAAATTAAACTACCCATTTTCCATTAGTGGAATCAACTGTTTATTTTAATATAACCTTGCTTTAGTGTAGTCCCTTATGTAACAAATTAGATGCCGCTTTTTCTTTGATGACTTGAAGAGGCCAGAAAATAGGTTATCACTGTGACGAAACATACAGCAGAGTCATTTCTTTGGGCTAAGACAACTTCATGGCTAAAACAGTCAAAGCTTATCCAGACACAAGAATTTCCCCACAAAATTTATGTTTTTATTCAACAAGGTAATATTTCAATTTAGAATATTTCCCAGAAAACCATGAGATTGGGAGTCTTGTCGTGAGACCCTGAGAAAAGTTAAAAAAATCGTGAGACTCACGGCAGAATTGTGAGAGTTGGCAGGTCTGCCTCATATGACATTTTCTATCGAAACCTGTATGTAGTAGGAAGAAACTTTGTATTAAGTGGGCACTACAGCATTCTCTGTGGGGTCCGCTTACATTATACAAGTTTCACTGTACATGTTTGACTCCATTCGCACTAACTATTGATATGGAACGATATGAAATTGCTTCATGCATAACAGATGTACATGTTTGGAGTTGTATGTAAATCTTATTAATTGTTTTTGCTATTTATGAAAACTTAATGTAAGCTTATAGGTATTACAGAGAAATATCCTTTGCTTCAACAATGTGGTACAACCTTCAAGTGTTAAAAATATATATATTCCTGGTGTAATTATTATAGATACATAGTGTTGAGGGAAGTCTTTGGTTTACTTTTTCTTAAAACCGAAAAATAATTGACTTACATTGTGCCGGGGTAACCGAGTCGAGGTCATCTCTTTATATTAATATTAAGCGCACTCGAATGGACTGATCATTTTTACTGCTAATTTCTCCCATTTAACATCAAGGACAATGTTTTCCACTATTGCTGATCTACCCTTCTGCCAAGTTTCGAATTTCCACACCAAACCGATTTTCTAAGACATGCGATGTTAATATGCGATCATGCAAATTTCTGCGACAAATATTCCACTTGAAAAAATTGGCTTAAACTGTTTAGACTGTTTACCAGGTAATTATCATCAGAATATAATACAATTAACTCTCCTTCTCGGAAAGAGCTGTTGCAACTATACTTTCCCTCTATCAGAAACTACTTTAAAATTTACTTATCCCGAAAAGACAGCTTGAATAGGTGATACTCTTGGCATTATTGGAGATAACAGCAAAGTAATGAATACCATTGCATCAGCTTAGAGGCTACGCTGGCACACTCGAATGGACTGATCATTTTTTCTGCAAGTTTATCTCAATTAACTTCAGCGACAATGTTTTCCAATAGAAGTAACCCACCCTTATGCCAAGTTTCGATGTTCAACACCTCACCGATTTCGAGAAAATGCGATATTACTGTGCGAACATGCAAACTTTTGCGGCACATTATTCCACTCGAGGAAATTGACCGAAACTGTTTACAGCTCTCATACGCGTTATTTTTCGGATTAATACACATTTCACTCACCTTTTCGGAAAGAGATGTTGAAACTACACTATCCTACCGTGACAAAAACCATTTTGGAGCGTCAATATCCAGGAAAACCAACTTTAAAAGTAGCATTTGGAAATGACAACGGCGCCATTTTCGAAAACTCCTCGAAGTTGCGCGCTTCTCTCT